GACGAAGTCCAACATGTTTAAGAAATTATAAATTTATTAGAAAAATGTGGAACCCGGTGGGTATGGAACATTACACCATTGAGGCCATCAAATCAATTGATTTGGGCATAAAAATAACTCGCGAATTTAGCACGAGCGCGCCCAATTAATTTGAGTCAGGACGCGTTGTTTACCATTCAGTGTTTGGAAATTGCAGTCTCGTGAAAAAATATGTTTAAGAAGTAAGATTTCGTACATTGACACTTTAATATACAGCCGTTGTTTAACTGTAAGTAGTATCTGTAGTTTATATATATAACGCTGAAGAGTTTGTTCTACTGGTTCGAATTGAAAATTTCTTTGTGTTTGTTAAAGCATTTATCAAGCTATAAAACATCGCGCTGTGATTAATAGGAGCGAAGAAACAACGGGGAAAATTATACATCATTGTAGGTTTTCGATGTTTACGCTGCGATACCTGTTCAAGATATATGAATAAACATGACACTATATGTCTTGCGAGGCTTTTCGAAAATAATTTGAATGCCCAAAATAACTATTCAAAGCGGACGAAGTCGCTGACACGGCTAGTATATTATCACTTTGACTTGCAACAGTCCTTTCGTGCATTTATCTGGAAAGGCTACCGCTAATTATTGTCGCGAGCGATACTCACTAATACGGTGTTTTACAGATTACAACATCCACTGTATTACTTAGTAATGTATTTCGCGATCTGAACCATTAAAAAGTAGATACTGTCTGTAGTTTCCGCGAGTAGTACACATTTCAATAAAACACTTTAACGACTTAAAACGTGATATTTATTAGTTAAACTTCGCCGGGCTGAAGTTAAAATAATTTTAAAATAAGTTTAACTACTATATATCGCGCTTTAAACCGTTAAAGTGTTATATTGAAATATTCAAAAGTATCAATTTAATAATAGAAGTTTAATAAAAATCGTGTACCAACTCATGACTGATTTTCTTTTTAGAAGTTTAAAAGGATCAGTTATGTATAGAAGGCTTTTGTAACATTAGCTATACCCGCGATTATATCTCGGAGCATCATATTATTATTTTGCAAACCTCCCTCAGCTTTAAAAATTATAGCTGTTACGTTTTTTCCACATTTCCTTATATCTTTGCTCCTATTGGTAACCTTATATTTAGTAGTGTTAATTTTAGTATAGATCAGAGTGTCTTCACCGAAAAGTTAGGTTTTGAAACAAGTAAGGGAAACATCGCGGGGAGCAACGCGATGATATTTGCAAAAAATATGTGTGCTGTAAGTGGAGTTCGCTAAAAAGGCGCGCAGACGGCGTCGCGGCGACGGGTCGACGGCCGCGCCCGGAATAACCACCAGCAGCAGCTATATTTGCAGCAGCGGCGCGGGCGCAGGGGGGGCCAGCGCGTGCCATTTCTGCATCAGCCCGGTGCATCTGAGTAATGCCATTGTAATGCTCTCGATATATCCCACTCAGCGCTTTCGAGCAGGCAGACGGGCCGTCGGCGGCGCCGTAGCAGCTTCTGTTGTCACGTTCTCTTCGTGACTACTCTAATATAGACAGTAATTGCGTAAGTAAAGAACGTAATGGCGATTACGTATGTTGTAAAAATATTTAAATAAGATTAGCGCATCATCAACTGCACTTTTACTTAATGACGCCATGATTCGAATAAATTCAAATTACAACAATATGAAAGTTTTGTTCAGTTTTACAGCGTTTTAAAAAACAGAATAAAGCTGGATTATTAGGCTTTCTTTTGTATTACGCGTATCTATAGTTAAAACGATTATACATATACATATAATATTAAATTAAACCCATATCTATTGTACTTTACAAATCCTGAGTTAAACATTGAACCACTCGTGCGTTCGATTCACACCGGTTACAAACAAGTTGATGTTAGTAAATTAGTTATTTTGTCCGAAAAATCTGCATATTAAATAGGTGGCATGAAATTAGAAATGTCTACTGTTGAAAAAACTATCAGTTTTTAATTTTTATCACGTTTCGGTATCAGTCTGTGTTCAGGCCAAAATGGGTCGACAATACATCTTGTTTAAATGCTATATGGCTGTTACACCTTCCATGAAGTGACCCTCCTACTTGTGCTCTTCTATTATAGAAAATATACGCATTAGTGATGGCGAATTATCGAGATCGAATGTAGATGTCCATGCGTAATGATGAGAAACTGTCGTGGGAGCGAGCTCGCCTGTCCACAGTCATTTGTCATCGCCAGTTCCTGTCACTACGCCAGTGTACTTCACAATTGCCTTATACTAATTTGCTATAATTGTCTTAAATACAGCAATCGTCAGCCTAACTCATCACTGTTCCCACTGTTGGGACTTTTGTGTAGATGCCTCAACTTTCCTAGTTGAGAACTCTATTTTCACAAAAGTCTACGCGCACTGGCTATTGTTCATACTTAGCATAATAAGAACTGCAAAATAGTTTTGCAACTTGTTAAAACAATAATTTGATACACTGTAAATTTTACCATAGGTACATACAATATACAGTATAATATGTATCTAGAAGAATTGAGCTTTGAAAATGTAATCAATGCAATTTATGACGCCAGACAACGGCTTTAGAGCGATGTCTACAAAATATTTAGAATAAAATTTATATGATAAATTGATATAGTTCCCGATCTACTCGTTAGTACAATAGTAGAAATATGCGTCAATCAATCAATGGATCAGGGCTTCGATTCCCACCAGGTCCATCATATTTGAACATATTTTTTTTCAACACGTTTGACCAAGCGTTTGGAAAATCTGGACATTAAGTGCGCAATCGAAATATCCTTCCAGGTCACGAACCAGTGTTCCAAGTTTCTAACGGTAAATCTGAGTTTCTATTTCAGTCAAGATTTCCGAATGTACAAAACTAAAATAACAGTTTAAAAAATAAATCAGTCGGTCTGTATCATGGAAATATTGTTCAAAGTTCGCATCAGTTTGATAATAATTAATTCAATTAATGACTAGATGGGAGCGACTCCTAGTATTGAGAAAACTACTGCAATATCAGATTACTCAATCGATATACGAAATCGGCATATTAATAGCGATCAGATAAAAAACTACATGTTGTATACTTATATCGAACGGACAATTTCCACATGTGGATAGTTTTCGCGACAGATGGCCCATGAGTCACTAACCTGCTCCCACCAATATTTATTTCCACAATTATCAGATTACACCCATAAAATATTAACGGCTGGTCATTTACTAATTAAAATGTCATTCTCGTTTTTAGCAACGTCTTTTTTATCTGAAGGAATTATTTAAGTTCTATTATATTTTCTCAAAGCGACGTATCGAATATTAGTAGAATGAACAAACATTTTTAATTAATTAATTATTTATGTTTATAATAGATGTAATAAATCATGTAATTTATACTAATATATAAAGCTAAAGAGTTTGTTTGTTCGTCTGTTTAAACGCGCTCATGTCAGGAACTACCAGTTAAATTATTTTTTCGTTGGTTAAAGCATTATCTTATTGTATACTGTCTATAGTTTATGCGAGTAGTACACCGTAGTAGTTAAACCGTTAGTGTTTTATTTAAATATAATATTATAGATGAATACGTCTTTACTATAGTACCTAGTTATTATGCTTTAAGTTTTTGTAAGTCTTTATAGAGTTAGATATATAATAATTATTTTTATTATCACTTACGAATTAGTAAGAATTTATTTCACTCATCCTATATAATAAACACTCAATTAGTCAATAACGACTAGCGGTCTAGTGCTTCAATTGCTTTGACCAACCAAAAATCCTTGCCAAAAAGTAAATTTCTTTCCAAGATTTGTACGCGAAGAAATTAAATTCAAGAAACACCGAAATTTCACAATTGAAAAATCGTTAACACTGTGGTCGGGCCACAGATGAAATAAATTGTAAGTAAGTTCAACTAATATGTTTCGCTTTCATAAACCATTAAAAATGTTTTATTTAAGTCAATAGAATGCCAGTAAAGTGTTGTAATCCATAACGGAAAAATAACGGATATCCTCAAATTTAAAAATAACACACCACAAGGGGTCATAGGACACTTCGCGAACATAAAATCGGTAAAATTATGACATCAGTCAGCGTAATAAAAGCTCAAAGCAAAAATGACATCACCAATCTAAAAAAATGAATTGAATTGGCGTGTGATGAACGTGACATGAAAAAGATTATCGGCTGCAGGCCTTTGAGCGGTATCAATGCGAACAAATGATTTATCAGCATATCATTGTCTTTCAGGCTGTTCGGCCGATTTGAGCGAGAAGAGGTTCTCTCCTCTATTCACGATGGCCGTAAAACCCTTACACAATTTATTAAATGATATTATATCAGTTTGTTTATTTATCTTATAAACATTTTGACAGCGCTGTTAATTTTTGTGTTTATTGTTTTATGTATGTTAAGTTATGAGCAGTAAGATTCATTATTGTCTCTTAGCATTGAGTTTTTTTTACAAGTAGAATTCAAATGTGGGTTCAGCTCCAAACGCTGTAGGTTCACGTCCTGTCTGTGTCATCGACTTTTTTCAATTCCTAATAGGTTATTTTTTTATTAAATAGACGATTCACCCTTTTTCGCTCATAAGTACTAAATGTTTGATTTTAACGCTAGTAAGTATATGATACTGCAAAGTAAAGGGTATAAGGCCCGGTAACTTCATCGTGTTTCTTTAGGTATAATTAAAGTACCGATTCCTACATATTTGAGATAATATTTTTAACAAAGTTTTAAGATAACACAAAAATCATTTAATTAATTACTTATATGTTACACTTAAACAATTGTTACAGTAATGAGATTTGAAAAACGAGAAGATTACATACATCCTTATTTCACATATGTATTTTTTTTTTAATTTTAAATTCGAGAATATTAAGGTTTTATATATTTTGCATTGTGTATATGATATGATAATTGCTTGCGTATATAACTAGCTAGAGAAATGTAAACATATTATATATAGTACTTACAGTTCGTATCCCCCGGGCACGTCTTGCAGCACCTCCCTGGCAACAAGACAGGGGTGTCACACGAAGGTTCAGGACATTCATTCTTTATATTTCTGCAGTGTACTTTCGCCACCACCCGACGCTTCTTTTGTACCTATACATACAATTAAATAATATTATTAAGTCATAAGCACGTAGAAATTTTTGTCTTCGTAAATGGCAACTTTTAATGTGTTTTACATTGTGGAAGTGTATCCTTGTGAGTCGAACCTACGTGCTACTGTGCCACTAGAACTAGCGATTTCTGATTTTTTATCGTTTCATCAATCCTAGGACATTCTTAAATGTGTGTGCTTACACAATACTAATTAACACATAACTGCAACTTATGGAGACCTTTTTCCTGCTGAACCATACATAAAGTAGAAAAAAAGCCTATTTCTTATGTCAAGATTTTTATCCTCATGTAAGCTTGCTTAATAAGTTTAAAGCAATTGATGTGGAAAAAATTAAATGCAGACGAGCCGCAGATTATGTTGAACCTGCGCATTCATAGAAAAATGTCGCCCTTGAAACTGGCTCCTTATTACACCATTTACCCACGTACCTTACCTCATAACAACAATTATTTCGTTTTAAACAATTTAAGAAATGTCGTTCAAGTCTTCGAACTTCTCGTCTTAGTTATAATAAAGTAAGGAAAGCCTTTTAATTCGAAAAGAAAAAACGAATTAAATATAGGTATTATTTTATAGGTGCTTGTTTATAGTCTAAGTTAGACGTTTTGTATAACAGGGATCAAATATACCAAAAGTGCGCCATATAAGGTAAATCAAGCGAGTATAGTTTAGGAAGATTCAGTTAAAACCTTTCTTTCACTCATTGTTAATTTTATAATTAGTTAAATGTAATATTAAATACGTACCGGTATACACTCACATTTGATGCAGTACATTACACCAAACGGAGGGCCTAGATCTGCAAACCACGTTGAACCAAGCTCTTTCGCTTGCTTGCCAAATTGACATTCTGAAACAATTATAAAGTCGAGTGTGAAAACCTATTTTCATGTATAACTTAAATTAATAGTAAAGAATAACATCTATCTAAAATTATAAGCTATTATTTCGAAATTATGTATTTAATATATCAGGAAATATATCATCTTGCTATAAATAAAATTAGAAACAATTTTAATTATTGTTATATTTCCCACCATTATTACGGCCACACGCCCACAGATAATAACAATCAATTTTTAAATTGTTTATTCTGTATTGGAACAACTCTGTCAAAATAGTTTGATTCATATTTTAAACTTGGAACCAATATGACATAGAGAAAAGTGGCCAGTATTAACTATAAATTCTTATTTAATTAAATCCCAAAATAATGATATTTGTACTATCCATGATGGTAATCATAAGCTTAGGTAATCGTAAATCATATACACACACAATAGGAATTTCTTTAGTGGACCTAGCAATTGGCTATTGGAAATTGTTGAAATATTTTACCGCTAAGCTTTGTCGTGAAAAACGACTGACGCCAACTTGTTTGATTTATTTTATAAACTACAGTATTAATTGTTTGGCATGGATTTATTTAATACTGCAAACTGCGGTAGAGTAACAACCTTTAACTTACTACAATGATAAATGTATCACGAATGCTGACAGTTATTTTAACAGTTGGAATTTTATTATTAATTAAAATAACTAGTTACAGTCGGCACGATTTTATGCGAATTTATAATTGAAGTTTGATTAAAATAAAGCATGAACATAACTTGCTAAGTACTTATTCATATTATACATAACCTATAAATGCCTAATAAAATTAATGCTTAGAAGGCTTAAGAAACAAGCTACATTAGGCTCGTGTCACAGTTTATTAAATTAATATGGCTGTGGAAATAATTACTTGCTGCGGTACAAGGAGTGTTAAATTTCTGCTCAATTCAAACAACATTTAACACACACGAAATATTTCTTTAATTAGCTAATAATTCAAGTCATTCGTTGATCCTAATAAGTAAAAATATTCGTTGCGAACATAACACTTTTCATGGTTTAAAAAAGTAACCTTATTTTTACTTCGATCTGACATTTGCGATGCCTATTAAAATAAGTTTAACTAATACATTTCGAGTTTAAAACCGTTAAAAGTGTTTTATTTAAATGTGTTCTACTTGCGTAAACTATAGAAAAAAAGGCTTTACGCAATTAAAGACTCTATTGGTTATTAATTTACGATTACAATCTCTTGTTTACTCTCAGTAAATAATATTCGTTACTTTTACTTGAAATATGAGTACCGTACCTACTCTAATACTCTTGTTCCAAATGAAAAAGTCAGCAACACGTGCATAACAAATAATAGTTTAGCATCATCAAACCTTTTAAATAAATCACTTTAATGGTTTAAAACTCGATATATTAGTTAAACTTATTTGAAAATAATTTTTAACTTCGACCCGACGTTACGGATGATTTGCAGCAGCCATGGTCACGGGGAGACCCGGAGACAGTCTCAAACCGTTTAAGGTGTTTTATTTAAATGTGTACTACTCGCGTAAACTATAGACAGTATTTAATCATCAAACCTATATTACGAATGGGAATACGCGTCAACAAGTTACATTTACATACCGTACTTGCTCCTGCGCATCTAAAAATAAAAGTCGAGTGTTGAAACGTAGAAATATCTGAGTACCTTATAGGATTAAGTCGCAATGCCATGTTTGATTGCACAGATACTGTTTACTTAAGTCATATAAATAGCAGTTAAATATTGTTGTGATTATTAGGTTCTGTATATAAATGTACAGGCTGTGTTGATTTTTTTTTTTGTTAAATGCACAGTCAAGTTTGCCATGTGAAACCTTTTTGGAGGGAAGGTGGGTCCGGACTTTATCAACTCTGCTAATAATCTGGCATTTGCTGGTACTGAGATACCAGTGAAGTGAACTGGAGAATCTTGGGGATCCCAGGTAAACGGTAACAGATTCAAAGTTAAACATTATACTCGTATTTTTAGTAGGAGTTGACACTCTTATCTTTCTGCGGGTGTAAGATAAGAGTGTCAACTCCTACACTTCGTGCTTAAAAACATTTTAGCCTCAACAAAAAGGTGTTATTAAAATATAACCATCCTGTATAGCCATACGATTTCAAAACGTATAACCTTTGCAGTCAGCTTAGCTTTACAATTGAATAATTGTATTTCCTAATTCCATAATATTTGTCACGAACTAAAAAAGCAATGTACTTCAAGGCTGAGTTTATGGCTTAGTAAATAATCGTGTTGGAGTCCAAATTCCGGGGAAACATATTACGAGAGTGTTTCGTGAATCATATTTTAATTTAATCAACAATCATTTATTCAATTAGTTAGATACATTTATAAATGTCAGCAATTAAAGTGTACATTCTATTTTCTTGGTCGAGAGGGATGAAAACCCCGATCATTGTTATTATTTAAACATCGATTTACATTATAATAAACTTTTCCAAGTAATTTTTGTTTAATATACGATTTAAACTTACGTATTGACAGTGTTTGTACCTTACTAGAGATTTTATTCATCTATAACCAACTTATTTAAAAGTAACCTTTGATCGTGCCAACAGCAGTCTTTCATATAACAAATATATTGACTGTGAGGCTTCACTGAGACCCAATTCCTTTAAAATAAGAATTATCAGAGCCTAAAAGTCATCGCTAGATTGTATTCTATATTGTAGATACATTAAATAGATCTTTGAAAGTGACACAAAAAAGTGATTGTTATGTTAAATAGTCTGATTCGGAGTTCGAAAGATCGCTATCAGATGCGTTGGTTTGATAAGGTGGCTCGATCTCTATAAATAGGCGTCACTTATCTCTCCTCTAACTATTTAATTAACCTCACTCCACGAGTGCACTGATAACAGCCGAGACTTCTGCGTGAGAGTTTATTGATATTCACTACGATTAAACAAATAATCCTTTTTATTGAGGCCATAAAATTTATATAGATATAATTTTTCCAGTTTTTATAGTTCAATGGACCATTATATATATTTATGATACACGAAACAAATATCAATTTTGAAATATTATAAGTAAAAAAAAAATATTTTTACCATAAGAATGAAATCTGGAATATAAAAAAGCTTAAAAAACTGAGAGGACACTAAGTGAAGTCTGAGCCGAGTAGATTTTATTGGCTTATTTAAATGTTAAATTTTAGTATGATACATGGTAACACTGAAGTGCAGCCAGTTTAGTAATAAGGAAGGAGGGTGCGACGGCGCCTAGATAAGGATGCGACAATCACATCTCGCTTCGCAATAAATTTTAATGCGTCCGTTTATTTAGTCAATTGAGAACGAAAAGACGACGTATAAGTAATCCGGTATTCGTAATAGATATTTTACGATACTAGTTACAGTATGGATTGTATTCAGATACAGAATATGATAGTATTTTTTGCTGTTTCATTCACATGCGCTAAGATGATGCCAGTCACAACATCACAGACTACCATAGACTATCACAGATGATTTTGACATCTGAGTATGAAAATTTTTGAGGTTTTTAAATGCTGTGTCAAAGTTAATGATTATATTTTTTTTCTAACACAAGCATAGGGTACTTCAAAGTCAAGGCTAACATGGAAACGCGGATTTTCACTTCATAGTATTTCCATCTATGGACTTCAATGTCATTTTCCTAACAGCGTCTTGCAATTATAAATTAAAAAATTGCTGAGTACCGGTAGAAATGTACGGCTTATAGACGACAGTTCGTTGATTCGATTCCCACAGGGTTCTACATTTTTCTAATGAATTTAGAATTTTTCTGACATGTTGGACTTCGTCTGAAAATCTGGACATTAAAAGGTGGTAGGAATATCGAAATTCCGATTCTGTCACTATCCACCGTCCACAGATGAAAAAGCCGTGAATTGTGATCGCGTTTCGCTTTTAGTTTGTGGATTTCCGAATATCCGAAACCAGAATTGACAGGGCATATTGTTTACAGATATGGCGGGGGTATTTCATCGAGATAATCGAGTAGGCAAGTCTACTACGAGTACGATTCGATGCTCAATCGATCATAACGAAAATTCTCTTAACCCGCGCACGCTGCCAACACAATAGTCATTATTCAAACCAACCCTTTAGCGTGTGACGTCTGAAACCGGTTAAATATCTGTAAAAATACGATCTGCGAAATGATTTAGGCATAAACTGAGGCGAGACAACGCGTAACCTTCTGCCGTGTTCTCGGAACCGTTGGCCGGCGGCCAGAAGCGGTCCGCCGGGGAAATGAAGAATTGGTGACGCCCGTCTCGCGCTTCCACGATCCCTTTATGGAAAGTCGTGATAAAAAGTATTTTTTGAGTGATAGAGGAGAACAGACAAGCATGGGGTCACTGAAATGCGCTTTCGGCTTATTTTGGCTTTGGATATTCGGATTTAGAATTATTGAATTCCTCATTACGATTACCAGTATAGCTTGATAGTTTAACGCATTACATGGCATTAAGAGCGAGAGGTGCTGGGTTCAAATAAAAAACTTTTAATTTAATCTAGTTTTCAACGAGCTGGTTCTATATTTGTACACAATTCTTTAAAGATTATAAAAAAATATCAGGTCATTAGAAATCTCGGGTGTAGGCCTCCTCTAAAGTAGCCCATGTTTTTCGGTTTTGGGTAGTTTTCGTCCATTGTGGGCCAACAATCGCCTGTATGTCGCTTCCCCATCGTGCTACTGGTCTCTCTCTGATGCGTTGTCTTTTTGGACCTTACGCTCCAAAAAGGGATTGAGCCGAACTTAAGACTATTCTGGCCATAATCAGACAGACATCATGATGATTTCAGACTAAGTGGTTTTGCAATAGACAAATACTTTCTTTCTCTTGAACTGTATAGTTTTACACAAAATAAAATTGTTTTAACCGGAAATGAAACCCCAACGGTGTCAATCGATAGAAATATATACACGCATTTGCTGCATTTAAAATCGTCCAATATCGATAA